TAAACTTTGACTTCGTGCTCAGATGGCTTTTTGTCACTGCTTAATACCATTTCTTGTGGGCATGAGCCTAATTGAGATGCGCTCTGCCACTCTTGAGGGGAATCAGCGGTTTCTTACTGAGCTACGTCAGAAGTGCCCAGCATCTCTCAGACAACGTCGCACGTTGTCTTCGGACGGATTTAGACCGTCTGGCGTTGAGAATCCGCGGTGAATTTCGGGTGCAGCGTGATGTGAGCCACTCCTTACAAGTCGCACAATGATTCTATTGGCGAGAGAGAGGTCATTTTTGCTGCTCCTGGGCACTTTTTGACTTTGGCAGGTTCGATGCTCTTGAATTTCTTCCAAGTCGTCCACTGGCGCTCCTTGAACTTCGAAAATCTGCTAGGATGTTAAGCCTTTGTAGAAGCTCCGAAAAAGATGGCGTCACCTGGTCCTGCCACAAGCTATGAGAATTCCCTAATGTCTTGGGATGTTCTGAGTAATGTGTAGGCATATGAAACTGACACAAAACAGCAAAAACACACGTGCTCTCAACATGGAAACTCATCGTTTATCAACAATGAAATTGGGTGCCCGCGGACAATACTCGAAAATGAAGCTCCATTTCCCCTTGAAAGGAGGCTATCTGCACCGATACGCTGCTATAATATGACTACCTGTGTGTGTCAACTGCTGTCGAAGTTTTACTGCGAAAGCTTGAGTTTTGAGGAAATTACGTTTAAAAAAGTGAAAACGAATACTTCACTGCACGGTACTGTATATACATATGTACTATAATACTATATTATATATATACATATATATATGACACACAAACACAAAACATGGAAACGAGAACCCTGAGCCATATGAAAAGAATCGGCTGCGTTAGAGCAGTGAAACCGAACCGACTGAATCTTTGAAGCACGGGTTGGGATTGGGCCTAAAGAGGTAACTCCTCGTACAGTGTGAAAGAGTGGTCCTGACTAGAAGCCGCAACTATGTCGCGATCAGAAAGTGCGCGGCAATGCTAAGGTGTTGTCTGTACGCTGCCGGCGCTGCCATTTTACCAATTGCGCCATACGTGCTCTCTCGCATTTTCCCTTCTCCTCGCAGCAGTGTGTCTCTGGTAATACAATGACCGATCCTACAAGGGAACCCTAGTTTTCTATGCTGCTTTCTGCTTTCTTCTTCTTTCACGTTCCTTATCGCACTTCTTGCATAATTTCTGAGCAAAGTAATACCAAATCGATCTGGACCCGTTCGTTCAAGTCAGGTCGTGGTCTGAACGGAAGATTCTGCGAGATGCCCAAAGGTTGGCAGTAAGTTGGTTGACTCAAGGAATCGCCACGCTAATCGAATAGTGGCAGGATGTCACGGAGCCATAAACGTACGAAAATTCGTATTCATCACTTCAGCATTGCTATTTGACTATGAATGAATTTTAACATACTTTGACAGCGTCAGACTCTCTAGGCGATGCCCAAGTTTCTCGTATAGCTTGTCGCATCTGTAAACGCTTTGCGGTTGAAACTACCGTAGCAACCAGCAACAGAGAGCTGAAACGGCGCATATTAAGATTAATGCTTCGTCACTTCTGCGCACCAACTCGTGCCCTTCAATGTCCAGTCTTAAACTCGAATCTGAACCTGCACTTGCACCATATAAGTAGTGCTTCTCTTTTTTCACCATTGTTGGTTTCTCTTCATTTTGAGTGCGCATTAGATAGCTTATAGTTGACTGTGAGCTTCCTTTGAATCACGTCGCTTATTACAACCGTGTGCGAGTATCACTTATCCACTTAAAGGGGATCGTTCAGAACAAACAGCCTTTCTTTAAACGGTTTCTTGCATGCAAGGTGCACAGGCACGTGTTTCATTTTCGCAGGACGCTTTAGTAGCGCTAAAAATTAAAGGAAAGATCCATTAATGGCACGCTTCCTCGGGGTTCGAGAATTTCGCATTATACCGTGGCGGTTTGAATGGCACCAAGCGTCGAAAATCGACGCCTTCTGAATTACAGAAACACTCAGTACCCATAAATACTCGAGAACAAAGAGGAACGGTACGAGGGACGGCCGCACGTCACCACAAAAAGTGACAGTGGAGTATGCTTCGGTCAACCTCGCAAATAGCTGGTCAATCGATCATGCACAATTACTCGAAATCGGCCACTTTTTACTGTTAGCTCACAAGTTCCTACAGCTAGTTATGTGACTAGAGCGCAGGTTATAAACGGCCCTCAGGCGGCGAGGAGAGAGTGGAGAGGCGCGTGAGCATTCTCACACTCTCCGAACTTTTTGTCCCCTGTCACCGAGTGTCCCCCAACAGGCCCACTGCGCGAGACGTAAGCAAGAGATGAGACGCGGCAAAGGACGAGTCGCAGCGCTATACTGATAGCGTTAAGGCGGATGTACACACTACGTCTCATATCGCACAGCACGCGCTGTAATCGTCTCTGTGCAGCATCCTTCTCTTGCTTCGCCGCGCGGTGGGCTGTTGGGGGACACCCCCTGTCACTCTTAGTTATCATCTATCCCGTATCTCGCGATAGCGCCAAAATAGTTTTCAGATATTGATAAATAGAATCTAAACTAATAAATAATAATAAATAGGGTGTGCACTACGAGCGGCAGTACAACACCACCTCCACTGCTCAACTTGTGAAAGTTATATCGGAGGGACGAGTAGGATGTTAGGCATACGCGTAGAAGAACAGTTCACTACTCCATTTGATGAGCACCGGCTAGAAACACTCATCAGAGCAACGATTTCGATATACGACGCAAAACTATGGCCTGCGAAGATGACATCGGCGCTAGAAAGATGCTAGAACCGTTTTATACAAATCTGATACTAAACCAAAACGAGTGCGTGACCGTCATAATTAGATTCCGGTCATCCATTCCTTTGTGCATTGTTAAAGAGCGTGAGTACAGCTGACGTCCTCACGCGAGGATGTCTCATTTTTTATATCTAGCGAAAATTGTGCGGCTGCGTAGCCCTGGTGGAATAGCAGAAAGATCTTTGTTGGGATCTTTTCTTTATTTGTAACGAGGCGTTCGACCGCATTTGCAACCTAAGAAATACGAACCAGTTTAGGTCCTGAAGACGACAAATCGTTCAGAACGTTCACCGAATAAATCTATTGTACCGTAACAAGATTGTATGGCACAGCAACAACAACACAGAATTTCAAATACTTTAAAAGTATTAACTATAAAAGTATAAACTAACTTATTGCGGGAGACATTACACAACGAAATGTTAGGCATCATGATGTACTTGTAACTGAGAGAGAAGTTAGCAAAGCTGATTTCATGAACAGTGGGCCTTCTGGAGGTGAGGAGTTTTGATGGCACACCGAGCTTGAGTAGAACAAAACAGTCTGAAATAATACTCAGCGTTGTTGCTTATTTGTATAATAAACACTCTCGCTACAATTTGTTGAGCCATATCTGGATCTACTGAATACTAGTTACCAAAGAATGGATATCACCAAGGTACCCTACTTTGACCGTACGCCATTCTTGGTATCTCAGATGGCAGTGATCGAGATGACTGGATGACGCTACAGTGTTGATGTCGTCACTGAACGTCATTGGCTCAATAGACCTCTCGGCGCGCTAAGGTTGGGAGTGAGGCCGCCTACTGATGCCCTTCCATCAAGGACGTTCATAAGTCCCATCGAAGTTGCACCGCCCATCAGCAATCGTGATCACTGCCTTCATTTCACATGTACGGACGGAGTCATGGTTGTGCTTTATTTTAGCCCAAGCTCTCGTCTCTTTTCCCACGCCCATGGTGCTTGAAATAGGGGTGAACGGCAGGTGGCAGCCCTCCTCTAACAGACACACTAAGCATGAAACAAGCTCTAGACGAAAATCTCATGAAAAACGCGGTTATCTGTGATCGTAGCCTCTTTTAAGGTTATATGGAATGGGTTGCCACATGGAACGGTCAACATTTGACGATCTTTTTTGAGATTCAAACTTGCTTGCATTAGGTACGCAAAAACGACTGCACCGCATTTGGTCTACACAAACAAACAACGAGCAGGACCCGCGTTTCTAGAAATATGTTCTAAACGTTTAGAAGTATGTGGAGGGGAAGGGGTGACGAGTGGTGGCAGGGTGATTGTCGTAGAAGGAGAAGGTTAACAAAATCAAGATGCGCCTGATAGGGTCTATGTGTAGCATCCCCAAATCCACCTGTGGGTGAGAGGCTCACAAGGCCGAAAGTAAACCGCCTCCAGTACAAGACAATGGGAATAGCACGAGTGTAACGAGTTTAGTCGGGATTCGGCGGGGCCAAGATGCATGCGAGGCCTTATCGTCCGCAATTGCCATCCATCGTAACTTGTGCACTATTGCTCGCCGCTTGCGGTGTCGCCGCATTTTTCCGAGTCAGTGAACGAGACCAAAAATCCCAACCTTTCTCTAGTGTGTGGACATACTGCTAGGATGTGCGAAAAAATACTCACAAGAAATGTAACAGGAAGTACCTTATAATCTTCCATAAGCCTAGTAGATTTAAAATATTCTTGTTTAGGAAAGTAATCGTGTTCTCATAAACGTCACTTCGGATCCTATCGCGAAAACATGGTAATCTTTGCGAACAGCCAACATATTTGTTTCGCGTCAAAGAAGGGTTGGTTGTGGCTTTCATACAACATAAACAAATAAATTAATAAAACAATTGATTTATACATTCAAAAAAGAGGGAACTCAAGTTGAAAGCACACGCTATGCAATTAGCGCGCCATGTTTGAATGACACTGCTCATGCTCAAGAAGCGCGTCGCAAGAGCGAACACTTTCAAGGTTCGCTCCCGCCTCGTTATGTTCTATGTACTGCGCAGAATTCTAACGCTATTAAGGGAGCAACAGCATCAAAGTTCTTGCGGACATTCGAAGCAGGCGATCCAAGCGGCAGGCTTACAACGATAAAACATACCCAGGAAGGAGGTGGTACGAGGGGGTCAACTACACATTCGACATGAATATATGTTAGTTGTCACGCTCACTTGATCACATGGCATCGTAATATACAAAAAATGAGTGGAATTTCCCTTACTGTGTTCAGCTAACAAAACCAGAAGCCTCTTCAAGACCGCAGCGGGATTGTGGATGAACAACACGTGCATAAACTTCTATCAAGACGAAAATGAAACATGTAAAAGAAGGAAAGATTTGATGCGGTAGTGAGAGTATATTACGTTATTGTTTCAGCTGTGGATCTCTTAGTCGTAATTAAAGAATATGGATGCTGGTCAGAGGTTGGTAGGCAGGGCGATTGGCAGTTCATGTCGCTTGATGGAGGCTGTGAAACGGTATTGGATCAGAAAAGCTTCAATTTAAAACCGCGAAATTTTTAGAAACACGAGTTCAAAGAATAATAAATAAATGAGCGCCAGCTCCTTTACTGCCCTTTTTAAAAGTGAGATGGTTTTTCGAGAAAAGATTTCAGACGAATTCAAAAAAATTTTGATTTTCGAGTAGTTAGACCATCTGAGCATTAACAACTAATATTTGGAGTGAGTGTGGATGACGCCGGTTCGAGTCGGAGTTGAAGGAGCTATGTTCGAGCTTTCCAAACTCGCCCACCACAGAAACTCCGTCATGCCATCATCCTACGGCTTTGAGATCCAACCGCACTTCCTCTCGGGCACCATCTTGAAGTGCCCCTACGAAGTTTCAATGTTCTGGGTGAGCGCCAGTGTAACGATTGACAAATCTAGGCATGCGGTTCACAATAAGGTGCCTGTCTCCTGCTTGTAATCTCGATGGTTGATATGCTCTCCATGAGTCACATATGATTACACTTTCAGGTTATTTTAGCATCGCGCTTCTTCCCCAAAACCATAAATTTCCGACCATTTCTTCTGTGGCAAACACAAGAATCTTTTGGAGACGGAGCTTTGTAGCTCCAGGTCTAGAAGGTTCTTGTGTTTGCCACAGAAGAAATGGTCTCTCTCTGAAAGGCGCCACTCTCTGGACTAGTTTAGTTTGAATTAACCTTTTTGAAAAGGTTGAGCAATCGAGTTTTATGATCTCCATCATTCCATTTAACACTTCACCGTTGAAAAGCACTGAGAGCCATTTAGACTGGAAATGAAACTCTTGAAGGAATATG